AGTCTACCTTGCTTGAGTTGTTGCAGGATCCAGGGGTGCCGTCAAAGACCGCCTCCGGGTCTAGAGATCCTCCACCTGGCTCTGATGACGAGCTGAAGTCTAGGGCAAAGTCCTCTTCAGCAAGAAAGCCAAAGGCTAAACCAAGTCCAAAGGACAAGGTCAAAGGTGCAAAAGCTCCTAAACCTGCTGAAGCAGCGAAGGCTCCGGAACCTCCTGCTCCAGTAGAACCCGAGGTCCCGCCACCTCCACTTCCTCCACCTGCCATTCCGCCAGGTTCTGGGTCGGACTCAGGAGAGGACGTAACATCAGAACGTCAGAAGCAACTCATCAAGGAGGCCTCTTCAATGGCACACAAGTTGACGCATATCCCTAAGAATCCCTACTGTGAGATTTGTCAGCGAAGCCGCATGTATCGACAAAGAGTCACCAAGAAGCGCGCAGAGCCTCTCGAAGACAGAGGTGACTTGCCTCCTGCTGAACAGTTTGGCGAGAGGATTGCAACAGACTATATAATCCCTTCGAAGCGTGAGCATGCAGTCCATGTCATCAGGGATGAATATAGTGGTGCACTGCGAGCTTTTGTCTGTGCGCGCACAGCTGAGAGAGCAGCTCAGAACCTCCTTACCTTTGTAGGCGCCCGATACAAGCACCTCCCGAACGTGTTGTGTAAGGCTGATGATGCAAAGGAGTTAATAGCTGCCGTCTCACAAATAGGATGGGTGCATGAAGCGACCCTAGAAAACAGATTTCCACACAACGCCCAACTTGAGAGAGAGATAAGAACTCTCGAGGAATCGACTCGCGCGGTGCATTTGGCTGCTGGGTTCCATGTGGTTCCAGATCTGTGGCATGTGTCCGTGCAGTTTGCCGCGCAGACTTTGACAGTTGTACCGTGGCAGGGCAAAGACAAGTCGCGTTTCGAGGTTGCAACTGGTTCCCCATTCGAAGGCCCAAGGCTTCCCTTGGGACAGTTGGTGCATTACAGGATCCATGACCCCAGCCGCAGGCATAAGTTCGAAGCTACAACTGCTCCCGGACTATTTGCAGGTTGGAGGTTTGAGCACGGATTTGTGTATCGTGACGTGATCTGGGTGCTAGACTATGAAGCCGTCAAGTCCAAGTCGATTGGGTATAGGGACATGATCCCCGTGCCATATGCGGAAGTGCATGTCCCAGAGACTGAGACCTTCCCGCTAAAGGCCGCGGCGGATCTTGCTCTTCGCGTGTTCCAGGATCCCAAACTTGAGGCTATCACAGCGCTGGACATACCATTCAGCTCATTGTCCCCTGCTGATCCTCCTCGAAGGCGCGCAGAGTACATTACGCTTGAACGCATTCTTAAGTTCGGTGCCACACCAGGATGCAAAGCGTGCACTTTCGATTCCGTGAAGCATAGTCCTAAATGCCGAGCAAGATTCGATGCCCTGATAAAGGCTGATAGGATTGCGTTGACGTCCAAGCCCCCTGAGCCAGTTCCTCCAGCTGAGCTCCCCGAAGGCGTTGGTCTCCACCCTTCGAGTGAGCCCGCTGTAGAAGGTCTTGTTGCGAAGGTCGAGCTCGGTGTGACGCAAGTCTTTGTCGATGTCAACAGGGAAAGAGTCCGCCAAAGAAAGGTGCAAACGCTCATAGGCAAGGATGTGTTGTTCGAATATGCGTGTGGCGACAGTTCAGAGCTTTCGCAAGCTGCATCCGAAATTGGCATCAACAGTGTCCGCTTATGCCGAAGCATGATTGATTTGTCCAACGAAGAACATGTCAAACAAGTTCAAGGTCAGGTCGAAGCATCGCCAGGTTGTGATGTGTGGCTCTCATTGCCGTGCACCGAGTTCAGTCCGTGGCAGAACATGAACGTCCATAGGCATGGGGCGAAGTACGAAAAGGGTCTTCGGAATCGCCAAGAGAAGAGCAAGCTTATGTTCTTGTATGCCCGCAAGGTACTCGCAACTGCCATCGCAAATCATGGAAGGATCGCAGTCGAGTGGCCCAAAGGGTCCGGCTGGTGGGATCTCCCTGAATGGAAAGAATTTCAGGATGAACATGGTCTACACAAAGTGTCTTTTGATGGCTGCATGGCTGGAGTGAAGGGCCGAGAGCATCCAATCCGCAAGCCCTGGAGCGTAGCCACTAATGATCTGCGACTTGTTCAATTTCTTGGACAACTGCAATGTGACGGTAGCCACCAGCACGAGGCCGCCGAAGGCTCACAAACAAAGCAGACTGAAGCATACCCACGAGAGCTCGCTCACAACATCGTCGAAGCGTGGTATCCGCAACGCTACCATCGCCACATCCCCTCCATGGTCACGAAGAACTTAACAAAGCGGGAATGGAAAGCAGACCCGCGCGGAGTTGCAGCCGTGAAGAAGGAGGCAGAAGGGTTACGTTCTAACGGAACGTGGGATGATTTGACAGTCTGTCTTTTGTCTTCCTTGCGTGCCGATGCAAAACGGCAAAACCGTAAACTCAAAATTGCAGAGCTTCTCACATTATGTGGGATAAAACATTTCGAACTCCCTGAGCATGAACACAAGTTCAAAGGGAGAATCGTGTACAGGGGGGACTGCATTTTTGACCAGTTCGGAAACCATGTTCTTTTTGAAGACGTGGCTACCACACCAACTTCCTTGGTTGCCCTTAACATCGCATTGTTTTTCGGCTGCCAAGATGGAAACGCAGTGAGCCTTGCAGATGCCATTCAGGCATTTCTTCAAGCTGACCTCGCTGAGGCAGGAGAGCCCGACACATGGGTTATCCTCCCCGAGGAGCTGTGGTTGGACACATGGCACAAAGCGTACCCATCAGGGTCGAAGTTGGTGGTAAGGTTGAAGCGAAGCTTATATGGCCATCCGCTTGCTGGCAAACTATGGCAGAAACACCTAGCCTCTGTTCTCACTTCCTTTGGTGGCATTGAGATGGATTTGTTTCCTTCAAACTTCATCTTTCAAATGGGTTCCCATACCCTGCTACTTAACGTGTATGTAGATGACCTAACGTTGTCGGGAGCAAAGCATCTTCATGCACAGTTTTGGAAAAGGCTGAGAGCGCATATCAAGCTGGAAGACGAATGTTACATCGAAGCCTCGAATGCACGGATCCTTGGCAGAGGTCACCGAATCCAACGAGGCAGTGACTTCACAACTCTTGTGCTTGATATGTCTGCTTTCGCAGAGCAGGTCGTCGAGGCGTACTGCGAGCTTGCTGATGTCCCAAAGGCAAAGCTCCGTAACGTCACAACCCCAAGTTTGTCCGAGGCGTTAATGTCAGATGAGGACCTGCAGCAACCCGGCACACTGAGCCATGTAGCTGCAAAGGTACTTATGAAAGCACTTTGGCTGGGTCGGTTGGCTCGCCCTGATCTGTGTTTCATAATCGGTCGGTTAGCGTCACGAGTGGCCGCGTGGACTAAATGGGAAGACAAGCAGTTACTTCGCCTGATTTCGTATCTTCACGGTACAACAGGCTTATGTTTAGCTGCTACTGTGAACCATCACGAAGCTCCCCAGATCCACATCTTCACTGACAGTGATTTCGCCTCTTGTCCGCATAGTGCAAAATCGACGAGCGGGATCTACATGACTATAGGGTCAACAGATTTCCGCTTTCCGCTGTGGTGGGCATCTAAGAAACAGACGAGTGTTGCAAGAAGCACTCCCGAGGCTGAGGCCATAGCAATGGCTTCCGCCATGTTTGGTGAGGCTTTGAACATTCAGGTCATGATGGAGCATCTCCTCGGTCGTGCTATCGACGTCGTATTCCATCAAGACAACGAGACCTTGCTCAAAGTCCTGGCTACAGGCTATTCGGCGAAGCTGAGACACTGCAATCGAGTCCACAGGGTCAACATTGCATCAATGTCTGAACAGCTAGAGTCGCCACAAGTCACTGCCGTGTACTGCAAGAGCGAATCTCAGATAGCTAATGGCCTAACAAAAGTCATTCCACCTGCAGAATGGCCACATACTCTCGCACAGTTTGGCTTGACAGCATCCAGCGATGGACCCCACCTGGAAACTGCCGTCGCCGCACTTGCAGAGGCAAATCTTGCCGCAGAAGTCTTCGCAGGCAGTTGCCCAAAGGTCCCGACTTGTCAGCATCTGGTGCAGCTACTGACGCTGTTACCTCATGGTCCTGATAAGAGGGGGGCACCGGGGCACGACTCGCATGTATTTTCTGCGGGCGCATTTGTCTTAGGAGGAGTGTTTGGCCTGCAGACAAACACACACAAATTTCAATATGCAACGGCGTTGATATGTCGATTCTTTCGACGTTATATGCCATCACACAAGTTCTCAAGCATAATCGTGCAGCAAGGTGTAGTCGCGGGGCTCCACCGAGACTCCAACAATGCAGAAGGCTCAAAGAACCTCCTTGTAGCGTTGAATCCAACAAGTGGACCCATATTGTGGGTAGAAGATGAGGAAGGGACTATCCAATGTCCAAACGACGACAGCCTATGGGGTCACATGTTGTGTAACCCTGCACTCTTCAATCCCAGAGCACGCCACTGCACAGTCCTGATAGGATGTGAGGCTTCAGAACGAATCGTTGCCATAGCATTCCTGATCAGAAATGCCGAGCGCTTGAGTCCTTCAGACCGCGCAACACTACTGAGCGCAGGTTTCAACCTGCCCTCAATCTGCTAGTCCAGTCTCACCGTTCTGTCTCCTAAAGGGGGGAGTTAACTAAACTGGCCCCAAACCACCGTTTAGCTGTACATACCAAGTAGGGTTAGGAGAGCAGATTCGGATGACTGATTGTATTTTGGCTCAAGGAAAATAGGCGTGCCCGTTGTGCGTCTTTCCTTGTCTTAAGTACCTTTGTTGTACTTAACTCCCTACAGTAAACTCCAGAAGGTTGGAACATGGTTTAAGGATGATTAGAGCTCGGATTCCCTTTGGTGTACCTTTTGGGGTGTGGGGATAAGAATGTTCCAACTTTTTGGAGTTTGCTGTAGGCCCTAAACCCCAAAACATTCAGGGTTTTGTTTGTGGCTTCGGAAGGTCCCTGAGGACATCCCCTTTCTGAGGCCAGGGGCGGGCCTTAAGGGCTGGTTTAGGGTGGTTGGGTTTAGGGTTAAGGATTGCGGGAGTTTGGGAGTTTTGGGTTGTTGGGTTTAGGGGCTTGCGGCCTTGGGTTTCGGCCTTGTTGTTGGGCTAAGGATCGAGGGTTGAGGGTTTTGGGGCCTTAGGTTCGGGCCACAAAGTGCTTCTCTGGAGGTTTGCTGGCCTTTGCTTTTGGGTCAGGATCACCTTTACAGCACTCTAGCCAACAAAAGCATTGCTTTAGGGTTTAGGGGGTTTCGGGTTTAGGGTTCAGGGTGGTCATGTTTAGCTGCTAAGAAGGGCTCATGCGGGAATGGGCCAAAGGTCGTAGCGTTCTATTCGGCCAGCGTGTGTTCCTTCATTTTTGGAGGGGGTGGGGGGTGGGGCGTTGGGATCCCTACTGCTGGTGTCGGAATCTTTGTCAGGGCAGGCCTCACCTCGCTTGGTGTCTTCTTGCGGGCTTCAAGCTTGCTACAGGGGTGAATTCCTGCGAAGAGTGATTATTCCCTTATGGCCCCCTAGAATAGTTCTACCAGAGTAACCTCTAAAGCCCTATTCTAATTGTGACGGCCCCTCTATTCGCCAGCCCTTAGCTGCAGGTCTTGCAGCACAGAGCTTGTGCTTGAAGGTTCATGGGTGCCTAGAGAGGGGTTAGAATCCTTAGTGCCCTAAATTAAGGTCAGAACTTTCCACTATAGTTCTCCGACTCAGAACTTGTGACCGTCCCATTTCTAGCCCCCTAAACCCTAAACCGTAAACTCTAGACCCTAAACCCGCCCATGACCCTCCAAGTAGGGTATTAAACCCTAATCCCTAAACAATAAACCCTAAACCCTAAACCCTATTGTGCGACGCTCCGCGAGGCCGTACGAATTCTGCAATGTGCACGGCCTGTACATCGGGGACCTCGTCCAGGCCTGGGTTTAGGATTTTGGGTTTAGGGTTTGGGGTTTGGGGTTTAGGGTGTTTAGGGTGTTTAGGGTTAGGGTTTAGGGTTTGGGGTGGGGTTTAGGGTTCAGAGCGTAGGGTTCACAGTTTAGGGTTTCCTGGTTTAGAGTTCAGGGTTTAGGGTTCAGGGCTTAGGGCTCAGGGTTGAGGGCTCAGGGTTTAGGATTCAGGGTTGAGGGCTTTGGGGTGCTTAGGATGCTTCAGATTCTGTAGGGTGTTTTGGCGAAGGGTAGTTGCATGGGCCCTGAATATGGTCCTTTACCCTCTTTAGAGGTTTCTGATGTATGGGCCCTTGGGTTGTATAGTGTTATATAAGGCTTTGGGTGTTATGGCCAACCTATTGCCCCCTGGAAAACTTGCCACGAAGTTTAACGGGTTTTGGATGGCGTTTACCCTCAACCGTTTAGGGTTTTAGGGTTTTAGGGTTTTTGGGTTTTAGGGTTTTTGGGTTTTGGGGTTTTTGGGTTTTCGGGTTTTAGGGTTTTTGGGTTTTGGGTTTTTTGGGTTTTGGGTTTAGGGTTTAGGGTTTTGGGTTTCCTAAACCCCAAACCCCCAAACCCCATAAGCCAGGTGTCCAGCGCCAACGCCAGCGCGGAGAGGAATTGCGTGAAGCGGGAGTGCTCGGCGCCCAGTTCGTTCGGACCTCTTTGTCTTAGTGTTTAGGGTTTAGGGTTTAGGGTTTAGGGTTTAGGGTTTAGGGTTTAGGGTTTAGGGTTTAGGGTGTAGGGTTTAGGGTGTAGGGTTTAGGGTTTACGGCTTATATAGGGTTCATGTAGGGTTGTTTATGGCCCATAGGGTTGATATAGGGGTTTTCGGGTTAAGTGGGTTGATATAGGGTTTCAAACCCCGAGAACGTAAGTCAAGTCCCAGGTTTGGTAGCTTTTGCCTGACCACTAAACCCTAAACCCTAACCCCTAAACCCTAAGCCCTAAGCCCTAAACCGTAAACCCTAAACCCTAGACCCTAAACCCTAAACCCTGAACACTGAACCCTGAACCCTGAACCCTGAACCCTGGACCCTGAACCCTGAACCCTAAACCCTAAACCCTACACCCTAAACCCTAAACCCTGAAACCTAAACCCTAAACCCTGAACCCTAAACTCTAAACCCTGAACCCTGAACCCTAAACCCTAAACCCTAAACCCTAAACCCTAAACCCTAAGCAGCAGAGGTACTGCGAGCCAGCCCTCTCTGGGCCCGGAGCCAATCCGTAGCGAAGCTGTAGATGCTCTCATCCAGCAGCAGCAAGACACGGCAAACAGGACAGCTTGCTTGGGTAGGTCCCGAAAGCTGCATATGGGGTTTAGGGTTTAGGGTTTAGGGTTTAGGGTTCAGGGTTTAGGGTTTAGGGTTTAGGGTTTAGGGTTTAGGGGCTTGGAGGTCCATGGGGTACTTCTGACCCCGATTATAACCTTCTTTACACACCCCCTAAGTCCCCTAAGTAGCTTCTGAGTAGACGTATATTTTGGGTTGTAAGTACCCATGATGCTCCAAGTAGTTCCCTAAAGCTGCATATGCAGTTATGCAGTTCTCTAACATAGGGTTTGGTGTTGGGCTTGGGGTTAAGCCAGAGTCTGTTTTTTTTTTGGGGGGGTCCTGTTGATCAGGTGCCGTACCATATACGGGACCTAAAAAGGGGGCCTTAATTTGGAGAACTACCATCACACCCAAAATTCGCTTTCCCTTCCATGTCTGTGTAATCATAGTACTACTTCTTGGGCTTAAGTCTTAAGTCTTAAGGTTTAGGGTTTAGGGTTTTGGGCTTAGGGTTCAGGGCTTAGGGTTTAGGGTTTAGGGTTCAGTGGTGCTTGTTCAGATTGTCGACATTCCTAGAAAATCATGCCTTCTCAGTGTTCATTACTACTACTAGCGCGGCAAAGCCCTGAGTACGATTTCTTTAGTCGGTGCGCCATGTGAGTATGATTTGTCGCAATCCCCGTATCAGCAGTGGCCCAAGTGCAGCCGGGATATCCCGTATTTGTACTTCGCCACCCGCTTCATGGTGAGACTGCTCTGACTCATGTTACACATGTTCCGAATTGCAGTGCTCGTTTTTACAGCCGTGGCAGCCGTTCAAAACGGAACAGGCGGGGGCTTTCTTTGAAGGGGCCCTTCCTGGGCGTGGTCGTGCTTGAACGCCTGCGGTTTCAGGGTGGGTAGATGCAGCAGATATTCGACAGCCCTCATGCATCAGCTCCTGCATCGGTACCTAAACCATGTGGAACCGTGGAACCATATCTACTAAAGCCTGAACCCTAGATCATACATTACCCTTAGTAGCTGGGTAGATAACCTTTAGCCCTTTACAGGGTCTACAGTCCCACCTCAATTGAAAAGCTAAGTTTTTTGGGGCCAGGGTACTCAGCAACTAGGTAACCGTGCTTCGTGCCCTAAACCCTAAACTAAACCCTAAACCCTAAACCCTAAACCCTAAGGGCCCTGGCAAGGTCATGTGGGTGGCATGCAGACTTCGTTTGCAGACACTTGCTTATTGCAGACGCGAGGAGGCCGAGGAGGGCCTGGCAGCATGATGATGCTGCATGCTTCGAACAGCTCCTTAGTAGCTGAGTGAGCACACTTTACACTTTTTGGGATACTATTTAGGGTTTAGGGTTTAGGGTTTCATCCCCTATAGAAAGTGTGCACTTCTTTCAGGCTTATGAACTCAGCAACTAAGGCTCTCCCCCGGAGAACTTCCTGTACTTCATTCCGTTCTCAGGGAATCTGAAGCGCGCCGAGGAGACATACACGAAGCATCTGGCCACCACTTGCCAGATGATTTCGGAGAAGTATCCCAACATAGGAATCATTGGGGATGTGATGTCAGTCAGCGATTTGAGAGGAAATTGCAGCCATCTGCAACATGGCAAAGCACTGACGTTGGACGACTTGGGCTACTAGGACCGGGAGTAGGCCCTTTTTTTACTTTTTTTAGGGTTGGGGTTCCCTTATAATCCCCTTAACAACCAAAAAGAGGCACACTTTTTTTTCCTAGGTTACTCCTGGGTCTAGTAGCCCTAAAGCCTAAACCCTAAACCCTAAACCCGAAAGCCTAGGCTACGGCGACATCGTCTCAGCTATTCCTGAGGGGAACTGCTCATTGAAGATGCTAGGCCCATGGGACATTTTTGTTTATATGTATCCCCTTCTTGGGTTTAAGAGGCCATACGAACCCTAAACCCTGAACCCTAAACCCTAAACCCTAAACCCTAAACCCTAAACCCTAAACCCTAAACCCTAAACCCTAAACCCTAAACCCTAAACCCTAAAGAGGGTTCTATGTGGCCCATCCAAGGATGGGCAACACACCGCTACAGCCGCAGGTGGTGAAGATTTGGTTGAACAAGCCGCGGCTCCTGTGCCAAGCTGCCGCTGAGCAGCCCAACAAGGTCACCACACTCATGGACGCCTTCATAAGGCCTTGTTTAGGGCTTAGGGTTTAGGGTTTAGGGTATAGGGTTTAGGGTATAGGGTTTAGGGTTTAGGGTTTAGGGTTGCAAGGTCACCACCCTCATGGACGCCTGCATAAGGCCCTCAGGGTTTTTGTCCCGAGTGGTAACCCTAAACCCAAAACCCTTTTGCCCCCCCTATTTTTGGATTCAAGGTCCCCCCCCCCCAAAAAAAAAAAAAAGAAGAAAAGAATCAATAACACCACATATGAACAATAACAAAAAATGGTACCCTCATTTGTACTAGGGCTCTAGAACAACACATATGAACAATAACAAACATGGTAACCCTCATTTGTAATAGGGCTCCAGGTAGGCCCCTTGGGATTGTTTTCTATGTCCCCTTATGTGGGAACACATATAAACAGCCAATAACAAGAAAGTACCCTCATTTGTAATATGGCTCCAAGTAGGCCCATGGGATGTTTCCTATGTCCCCCTTATGTGGGCTTAGGGGAGGATCATGTTCTGGAATATATTTCTCTCAGGGTTTTAAGGGCCATCTTTAGGCTAAACCCTAAACCCTAACCCCTAAACCCTAAACCCGAAACCCGAAACCCTAAACCCTAAACCCTTAAGAGTAGAAGTCATGGTCCCTTCGTATGGGCCTTTAAAATGGGACCCCAACTATGTCCCTCATAGGGCCCTTACAGCCGAGCCCTTTAAAGGAGGTAAGGGACCATATCATTGGCCCATGTAACCCTAAACCCTAAACCCTAAACCCTAAACCCTAAACCCTAAACCCTAAACCCTAAACCCTAAACCATATCAAGAGCCCATGCAACTACGCTTAGAAAAAGAGGCCTAGTTGGATGGATTGGATTGTCACTGATGCCGCAAAAGAACTTCAGCCTGGCAAGCTCTGGATGCTTGGTAGGGTTTAGGGTTTAGGGTTTAGGGTCTAGGGTCTAGGGTCTAGGGTTTAGGGTTTAGGGTTTAGGGTTTAGGGGTTAGGGGTTAGGGGTTAGGGTTTAGGGTTTAGGGTTTAGGGTTTAGGGTTTAGGGTTTAGCATTTTGTTGATTATGGGTTCCCCTATAATGTAAGCAACTCCAAAAAGGGGTGCCCCTACCATAATATGGCTACTGGGCTACGAAGGATGCCGGCTTACGCAAGCCACATCACCAACAAGAATCGGTCCCTGGGTTAACGCTTTGAGACAATTTTTCATATCTTCCCTTCTTTCCTTAGTAAGAGAACCCTAAACCCTAAACCCTACAGGCGCTAAACCCTAAACCCTAAACCCTCTTCACGAGTACTTTTCAAAGGGTTCGAAAGCGCAGCCGCAGGACCTACTTTGGACACAAGTTCTGCACGCGACGGCTCAGGGTGCGGGCAGAATGGCTGGCGATCCGGGGAGCCGATTGTCCGGCGCTCCTGAAGGTAGGAGCTCCCCTAAACCCTAAACCCTAAACCCTAAACCCTAAACCCTAAACCCTAGTATGTGGGGTTCTAGATTTGGGGTCCCTTATTGTCGTAAACTCCTGAAGGCCTATGAGGATGCCCTGAAGGAGACGCGCAACTCGGCTGATCCCTTGTCTAGGGTTTGGGGTTTGGGGTTTAGGGTTTAGGGTTTAGGGTTTAGGGTTCGTGTGATCTCAAGTCGAACTCGGATGTCGTTCTCTAGCAGGGTTTAGGGTGTGTGACCGGCTAAGCCAAGGCGATCACTCAACAGAAGAAGGTGCTTGCCCGTGCTTTGATGAAGAGTACATATTCAACCGTGTCAACGAATTGCGACCCGAGCTGATCCAGGTCACTATTCCTCCTTCCTGGCGGACTCCAGGCTGGAACGTGTCGACCGCCCCAATGAACCAGACCAGTGCTCCACCGAACGTGTCGGCCATCCCACTGAACCAGACCAGTGCTCCTCCACCGCCGCGCACGGCACACTCATTTTTTTTGTCCAGCCCCTTTTATTTTCTGTGTTTCTGTGTGATTTTGGGGGCATTGCGCTTCGCGCTTGCCCGCCCTCAAGAGTAGGGGGGTCGGCAAATTGTCCGCCGCCCTCAGATTTAGGAGCCCCTGTGGGGATTTAGGAGGGACCTCTTATGAGACAGACCCAATTTTGATCCAGCTTGGCGCTCCTCAAACGAGGAGGGCCGCCCGTCCGCGGCGATTTAAACCTTGCAGCTCATGATGTTGAAGCGCTTGAGCAGGGTGTAGGGTTTAGGGTTTAGGGTTTAGGGTTTGGGGTTTAGGGCTTCGAGTGCGCAGGATCAGCTCCATCAACATGTGCCTGCAACACAAGGCCTGCTGTTGGAGAATTCCGGCAGGGGGGGGGGGGGGGGGGGCTCTTGATGCGCTAAAGCCTAAACCCTAAACCCTAAAGCTGCCTGTGGTTTTCTACTTAGTAGTCTAGGGTTTACAGGCTATATTCATAGGGTTTCAGGGTTTACGGTTTAGGCGCGGCTGAGTCTTTGTAAGATTGAAGTTAGCAAAGGATGACAGGCTTGAACTCTCAGCCTCTAAGCCTCTAAACCTAAACCCTAAACCCTAAGCCCTAAACCCCAAACCCTAAACCCTAAACCCTAAACCTCAAAGCCCATTCAAGTGTCAGGCAATCTACTACATTGCCAAGAGCGCCGTTGGTGCGGATCTACAGGCCCTGCTTGCTGGCGGCCACAAGCAGAATCCTACGTGAAGGTTCAGGGCACTTCGAACCCCAATGATAACCGTACTTTATAAGCCCCCTACGTCCCCCAAGTGGGGTCATAAGTAGACTGATAACTTGGGGTTAGAAGTACCCGTACCCATGAACCTCCAAGTACTGGTGCTTTGAGACGAAAAGCCTGAACCTGCATCACCCTGTGTGCCTACCCCTCCTTGCTTGATGGCGGTTGGTATCTTAAGGGTACTTCAAGGGCATCCACTCTACTTGTTCCTTCAGGTGGGTAGTTAGACTGATAGAATAAGGCAGAACTGCATGGTTATGCTACACTGCTTATAAGCCTACGTAAAATTACCGATGAAACCCTCAAGTACACCCCTAACCCTACACCTGCAGGCCCCAAGCCCTAAACCCTACACTCTAAACCCTAAGCCCGAAGCCCTAAACCCTAAACCCTAAACCCTAAACCCTAAACCCTAAACCCTAAACCCTAAGCCCTAAGCCCTAAACCCTAAACCCTAAACCCTAAACCCTAAACCCTAAACCCTAAACCCCAACAACAGCCGGCAGACAGGAAGACATCGACCGCTTGACGCAGGAGGGCGACGCGGAGAGCGCGCCTTGAATTGTCTTGGACCCTACTTGGAGGTTCATGGTAGGGTTTAGGGTTTAGGGTTTAGGGTTTAGGGTTTAGGGTTCAGGGTTCAGGGTTCAGGGTTCAGGGTTCAGGGTTCAGGGTTCAGGGTTCAGGGTTCAGGGTTCAGGGTTCAGGGTTTAGGGTTTAGGGTTTAGGGTACTGATTAACCACTCATAACTGTACCGATAGCCCACTGATAAGCCCCTTAAGTGCCCTAACATGGTTCTAAGTACAGTTATATGCACGATTGTAATTGGTTAATAAGTACCATGAATCTCCGAGACGCCGCTGCAGGATGTCGCACGCCGTGTCGAGACATTCCCTGGCTTGTTCGCAAAGCTCAACGCCTTGGGTGGAAGATGGGTTGCCCGCGACGTGGTTGAAGAGCACACCTTGCAGGACAGAGGGTTCAGGGTTTGGGGGGTTTAGCCCTAGACCTATAAGCACGAAACCCGAAACCCTACACCCCACACCCCAAACCTAAACCCTACCCTAAAGCCCCCCGAGGATGCCAACGGCCCGGCGCCCAACATACGCCTGGACCTCGTGAACGAGGCGGAGACCCGATTCGCGCAGACGACCCTTTGGAGAGGCGTCGCGCCTTCGCGGGGGGGGGGGGGGGGGGGGGGTGGGGGGTTTAGGGTTTAGGGTTTCGATTTGGCAGGGGTTTAGGGGAGTTCGGATTTGGGGGGCTTGGGGTCGGAGGTTGGGCTTTATGGGAGTTTTGGGGTTTAGGGTTTAGGGTTGGGGGGTTTGGGGTTTAGGGTTTAGGGCTCTCAGGGCTTCTGGGAATTAGGATTTTGGTGGCTTAGGGCTTCTAGGCTTCATGGAGTATAGAGTTGGGAGTTCAGGAGTTTAGAGGCTCCAGTTACCGCCAGCTTTGTGGGTTGCAATTTGTTAAAGTAGCTGCAGGCAAACAGACTTGAGTTTCGGTTGGGTGTGGTGTTTGGAGGGTTTACTTTTTCGGTTCGGGCAGCTGCTTATTTCAAGCACCCGCAAAGACCCCGAACAGCCCCGAAGGGGGGGGGGGGGGGGGGGGGGGGGGAGGACTTCAGGGTTTAGGGTTTAGGGTTTAGGGTCTAGGGTCTAGGGTTTAGGGTTTAGGGTTTAGGGCTCTTAGGGCTCTTAGGGCTCTTAGGGCTCTCAGGGCTCTCGGGGCTCTCGGGACTTCGGGTTTGGGAGCCTTATGCCGATGGGTCGACCATGCCTGGGGGCGAACCGCCCTGAGCCCTAAGCCCTAAGCCCTAAGCCCTAAACCCTAAACCCTAAACCCTAAACCCTGAACCCTGAACCCTGAACCCTGAACCCTGAACCCTGAACCCTAAACCCTAAACCCTAAACCCTTGCCGAAGGCAACGAGACCTATGCCGAAGGCGTGAATCAGCCCGTCATTGCCGTCTCGGAGGTGGCAGGGGGCACTGGTTTAGGGGCTTGCGGTTGTAGGAGGTTGGGTTTTTGGAATTCGGGTGCGAGGGTTGAGGGTTTAGGGTTGTTTAGGGTTAGGGTTAGGGTTGAGGGAGCCTGAAACCGGATTCGGAGCCTGAAACCGGATTCCGAAACCAGTGGGCGCTAGTCTCGAGACATGTTGAGTGAGGGCCGTGGCAACAAAGTAGTCCTAATTCGAGACGGGATGGACCGGACTTTGCTGAACCTTAAAGCCCTAAACCTTAAACCCTAAGCCTGAAGCTTAGCCCTACACCGAAACCTTAATCTCTAAACCCGAAACCCTAAACCCTAAACCCTGCGCCGGGAGTGTTTGGTCAGGACCTGCTGATCATCGACGCAGCTTTTGGAATGGACTGGGGCTATTCGACCTACAGAAGCCTAGGCACGGGGGTTAGGGTTTAGGGTTCAGGGTTCAGGGTTCAGGGTTTGGGTTTAGGGTTTAGGGTTTAGGGTTTAGGATTCAGGGTTCAGGGTTCAGGGTTCAGGGTTCAGGGTTCAGGGTTTAGGGTTTAGGGTTTAGGGTTTAGGGTTTAGGGTTTAGGGCGTCGGTGGCTGGTAGCTGTTTGAGGATTCATTGTTGTTTAATTAGGGTAAAGGGTCAGGATTCACGGGCCTATACAGGGCTTTAGGGTTTTGGATTTATCGCGCTTGTGTTTGGGTACTATAGAGGTCGGAAGATTTACTAATAGTATTCCCTTAATGGTCCCTTCATAACTGTACTATAATATCCCCCAAAACCCTATTCTACTTACTGAGGCCCTTCTAGTAGGTTAAGGGCTTTCGGGTTATAGCGTTCGGGCTTAGGGAGTACGGGGTGCCGAGTTGCTGCATTACGCATCTATATCATCCCACCATAGAACATATGCTTTCTCTTGCTTGTCACCCTAAACCCTAAACCCTAAACCCTAAACCCTAAACCCTAAACCCTAAACCCTAAACCCTAAACCCTAAACCCCCAACCGTTGGCTTGGTGAAACGAGAAGCCTTCATCCGGAGGGCACTCTGCTCGCCATGCCGGGTGAGCCTCACTCTCTCTGGTTTAGGGTTTAGGGTTTAGGGTTTAGGGTTTAGGGTTCAGGGTTCAGGGTTTAGGGGAAAAAGGGTTTATGGTTTATAGGTTTACGGTTTAGGGTGTATAGGGTCTAGGGTATATAGGGTCTAGGGTGTATAGGGTTCAGGGTCCAGGGTATATAGGGTCTAGGGTGTATAGGGTTTAGGGTTCAGGGTTTAGGGCTTAGGGTTTATAGGCTTGATAGGGTTTAGGCCTAGGGTTTTGGGTTTTGGGTTCAGGGTTTAGGGCTTCTAGGGTTTTTAGGGTTTAGGGCTTCTAAGGTTTCTCTTTGTCTCTCGCTCTCTCCGTGTCTCCTTGGTCTTATGCATGCAGCCAAGGTCTTTCGCCCCTAATCCCGAAACCCTAAACCCTACACCCCAATCCCTAAACCCTAAACCCTAACCAACAGTACAGTAAGCAGGCCCCCACTACACGATCTTCTATTCCCTCGACTTCGTCCAGCAATTCGTGAACGTCTCGCTCTGCGCAAAAACGCTCGGCCACCTATCTGAGATTTGCGGAGAAGGGGGGGGGGGGGGGATTAGGGTTTAGGGTTTAGGGTTTAGGGTTTAGGGTTTAGGGTTTAGGGTTTAGGGTTTAGGGTTTAGGGTTTAGGGTTTAGGGTAGGGTGCAGGGTTTAGGGTTCAGGGTTTAAGGTTTAGGGTTTAGGTTCAGGGCTTAAAGTTTTACAGGGCTTCATTGCATAAAGATTTGTAGAACATTGTAGAGCGAGAGTGGATAGGGTTCAGGGTTTCGGGTTGAAGGATTACTCTTCTACCCTAAACCCTAAACCCTAAACCCTAAACCCTAGATCCCTTCTGCAGACCCCGCCCAAACTAGAAGTGTATGTTTTTCCTTACAAAAACTCAAGGTAAGGTAGTTTACATCTAGGATTTAGGGTTTAGGGCACCTCGGCAGAGGACTGCTTGCAGTTTTTGTTACTGAAACAGCCCTTCTTCATGGGATAAAGGTATGTCGGGCTGCCGTTTATTCAACACAGCAACCCTAAACCCTAAACCCTAAACCCTAAACCCACTGTCCCTACACAAGCCTAATTCCTCGAACTGCCAACCCCCAAAACCAAAAACTCCCAGCCCTTCACCCAAACACACACAGACTCCCGCAAACCCTAAACCCTAAACCCTAAACCCTAAACCCTAAACCCTAAACCCTAAACCCTAAACCCTAAACCCTAAACCCTAAACCCTAAACCCTAAACCCTAAACTGACTACCGAATAAAGGTTGGCTGGGTATGGGCTGGCTGCGTCCGGATCGAGATGCTGGCAGCCCACTCATGCAGAACACAGATATGGTAGTGCCTGGGCTTTGGGATGTAAGGGGCCTAAACCCTAAACCCTAAGCCCTAAGCCCTAAGCCCTAAACCCTAAACCCTAAACCCTAAACCCTAAACCCTAAACCCTAAACTTAAACCCTAAATCCTAAACCCCAGCTCCCACAGACCCTAACCCCGTTTAAGGCTTATAAGAACCCCTGAGAGGCCATGTGGCGACTGTGTCCGGAAGCCTAGGCCCACACAAACAAAAACCCTAAACCCGAAACCCTAAACCCTATGAACCCTAAAGGGTTCAGTGGAGGGGTTGAGAGTTTAGGGGTTTAATCAGGGGACGTAAGGGTTCTTATAAGTACAGCTATTTGGGTTAGAACCGTCCTTATCACCCCAAACCCCAAACCCCAAACCACAAACCCCAAACCCCAAACCCTAAACCCTAAACCCTAAACCCTAAACCCTAAAGGGGTTACAATTGGGGCTATCAGTCTCTCAGTGCCTGAACCTCCAAGTGCCGGTCGTGTTGGCGTGGAGCCCGAGTTGCATCGTGCAGGCGGCCGTGTTCCCCAACGTTAGGTTTAGGGTTTAGGGTTTAGGGTTTAGGGTTTAGGGTTTAGGGTTTAGGGTTTAGGGTTTAGGGTTTAGGGTTTAGGGTTTCGGGTTTCGGGTTTAGGGTTTAGGGTTTAGGGTTTAGGGTTTAGGGTTTAGGGTTTAGGGTTTAGGGTTTAGGGTTTAGGGTTTACGGGCTTTAGCAGTTTAGGGTTTAAAGTTTTAGGGGTTATTGTCTTGGGGGGTTTAGGGAGTTTAGGGCTTTAGGAGCTTTCGGAGTTTTCAGGTTTTTAGGGTTTAGGGTTTAAGGGTTCCAGGGCTTAGGCCCGCGCAGATGTGGGTGGAGATGATGGCCCGTCATGCCCAATGCTCGAGCCACAACCCTGAACCCCAAACTTGGGATGTTCCCCCTTTATGCTAACAGTCGTTAAGGGTTAGGGTTTAGGGTTTAGGGTCTAGGGTTTAGGGTTTAGGGTTTAGGGTTTAGGGTTTAGGTTTTAGGGTTTAGGGTTTAGGGTTTAGGATGATCGTAGCCCCTACTATCATCCCTAGCAGCCCTTGGAAAGGCCTTTGCAGATCCCAAAGCCTACATCACCGAACTGCGCGACCCCACGCGCCCTGACGTTCTAAACCCTAAATCCTAAACCCTAAACCCTAAACCCTAAACTCCAAAAGCCCTTAAAGCCACTAAGCCCCAAACCCTAAACCCCAAACCCTGAACACCGAAACCCAGGTCGCCTACGTGAAGGACGGCCAAGGGGCCGTGGAGGATCGCTTCGCGCGATGGTTTGAAGAGCCGCTCAAGGACGGCCCCCGGGAGTTCATTTGTTTTTGTTTGGCTTCTTGGGGTAGGGTTTAGGGTTTAGGGTTTAGGGTTTTGGGTTTTGGGTTTTGGGTTTTGGGTTTAGGGTTTCGGGTTTCGGGTTTGGGGTTTGGGGTTTGGGGTTTGGGGTTTGGGGTCTAGGGTTTAGGGTTTAGGGTTTAGGGTCTAGGGTTTAGGGTTTCGGGTTTAGGGGTTTAGGGTTTAGGGTTTAGGGGTTTCGGGTTTAGGGGTTTAGGGCTTAGGGGTTAGGGGTTTCGGGTTTAGGGGTTTAGGGTTTAGGGTTTTAGGGTTTGGGGTTTGGGGTTTGGGGTTTGGGGTTTAGGGCTAGCCATGAATCTTCGGGGGGCTGTGGGAGAACCGCTTCAGGACGAGCTGCTGGCCGGACAGCGATCCGATGACGTGGGGAAGCTTGGCTGGGTTTCGGGTTTGGGGTTTGGGGTTTGGGGTTTGGGGTTTAGGAGGGTTGAGGAGGGTTTAGGAGGGTTTAGGAGGGTTGAGGAGGGTTGAGGAGGGTTGAGGAGGGTTTAGGAGGGTTTAGGAGGGTTTAGGAGGGTTTAGGAGGGTTTAGGAGGGTTTAGGGTTCGGGTTTGGGGTTGGGGATTTCTGGTTTGGGGTTTAGGGATTTAGGGTTTGGGTCCATTGTAACACTGAACTGAGTACTTGCCGAGGAACCCGCTGAATGGCGCAAACGACTTGGAGCTTATCCCAGGCGAGCAGCTTTGGGCGTGCAGAGGGTGTAGGGTTTAGAGTTTTGTGCGTGTTCGGGAGTCAGTCGAGGACCAGTCGTGCCTGCAGTTTGTAAAGTTTGTGGGGATGTGCTTGCCGCCAGTCAGCCTATACAAAGCCCTGAGTCCGAGGAGGCCCAGCAGACCTAGAATGCATGTTAAACCACTTAGCAAAAGGGGCAACGTCCCTAAACCCTGAGCTCTAAACCCTTGGGTTCCTGGCCCGTCTTACAGAGAGTCCGCAAAAACAAGTTACCTTTACCACCCTACAAGCCCGAAACCCAAAACTCTGAAAACTCCAGTAAGCCGAGGCTCGATGCTCTTGAAAGGCCGCATAAACCCTGGAATGCTCCGCAAAGAGAAAAAAGCAGCCTAAACCCTTGCCACGCCTTCAGACCGCCCAGTTCCCCTACACCTTCAACTGTGACATCTACCCCCTTGGTTCTTCGTGAATGGAGGAATGAGGTACCCTACAGAATTTAATCCCTCCAAGGGTAGGTATATATGGGGGGCTATAGGGAGCCCCATTCGATGAAATTTCCCTACCAAAATAAAGCGACCTTGAAAGCTCCACAAGCCCTTGCGGCGCCGCTGCATAATTTTAAGTCCGATAAGCCCTATAGCCCTAAACCCTAAACCCTAAACCCTAAACCCCGGCTTTGTATAAGGTTTGGGGTTTAGGGTTCAGGGTCCTAAGGCCTTGCAGGCTCCCTACTTGAGAGCCTGATGAATCCTTCCAACACCCTAAACCCCAAACCCCAAACCCTAAACCCTAAACCCTAGGCCCACTGTGAGCCCGAAACCTTCAAAGCTCCATGAGCTACAGGGTTCCTTGGTGTCCGTTTGGGGATACTGGCAACAAACCTTTATCCCACATCATGGAAGCCGAGGCCCGAAACCCTCAGCCCTAAACCCTAAACCCTACACTGGGATACTGGCAAAAAAACCTATCCTAAGTTATAGAAGGCTCGAAATCCTCAGCCCTTAAACTGCAAACCCTAAGCCCCAAGCCCTAAACCCCAAACCCCAAACCCTAAACTCCAAACCCCAAACCCTAAACCCCAAACCCTGAACCCTAAACCCTAAACCCTAAACCCTAAACCCTAAACCCTACAAACGGAGCCCTCAGCTTGGCAGGAGTGCTGGGCCGATCCGGCCAGGAGTGGTGTCCCGACGACGCATGTAATCCCGGCTTCACCCTGGCAGCTGGGACGTATCCAAACCTTGGGGTTTGGGGTTTGAGGTTTAGGGTTCAGGGTTTAGGGTTTAGGGTTTAGGGTTTAGAATGTGGGGTGTAGGATTTAGAGACTCCTGCGCAACCGAAAAAAGAAGCTCCAACGAACCCAATTGGTTTGTTGGTAAGGGTGCTGGGATTTGGGGCGCAGGGTTTGGAGTTTGGGTCGAGTCTTCCGGGGTCAGGCCGCTAATCGCTTGAAGCCCCTAAAACCACCAAGCCGTAGCCGACCCCGAAGCTAATAAACGAAACCCAAAAAACCCCAAATCCGCTAAGTTGCAGGAGCCTGAGTATGGTTACAGGGCCAAACAACACCCGATATCATCGCATAAGCCCCCTCTGACAAAAACACATACAAGCAGCCCACCAATACCCCATTTGTTTGTAACTCACAGTAAACAAAACAAAAATAGCAAAACGACCCGTGGTTGCTCGATCGGGTCCAGGCGGTAAGGTTGGCAGATACAGCTACCCCTAGTTGTGAATATATACACATGCATGCAGCTTTTTGACCATCATCAGAAAATGTTGGTTGATTCGTATATTGTTATTTGTGTATATATATATATGTATATTGTTGTTTTTGTTTTTTGTTTTTTGTTTTATCGGGGGGTGAAAGGACACACTTGGGGTATGGGTCGGCCGTTGCCCCCCCCCCCCCCCCCCCCACCACATTCGAAAGAGAATGCCTCACCATGCACCAAAGAACCACAACGTCTGGAAGCCAGGAATTTGTATTCATGGTTTAGCGTTCAGTGTGCAATCATCTTCCTGGTGGTTCGTCTAGGACATGAAGGAATGCAGTATCTTGGTCTTTCCCTACCAACCCACGGTATGCCTTTGCAACCATGAAAGAAGGTACTGAGCACACTGAAACACCGAGCCCCTTCCTCAAAAAAAAGTTACGAGCCTGTCACAGTGGGGACCTTAGAGGTGCTTCGTAGCTGAGTAGGTAACCTTTATGCAGCCTTTTGATGAAGCACATCTAACCCCACCATCCTAAGGCTAACCTTTTTTTTGCGCTAGGGTACTCAGCAACTAAGAGAACACTTGTGTCATATTGGCTCTGTTCAGGGGGGGGGAGTGAACGACTGAGCCGGTCGAAGCCGTTGTGAGTGTGGCGCCTGGCCTCGAGGTGCAATTCCGACGGAGGTTTCTGACGGAGGATGTATCTGACATCGTGCTCCCCGCATCTTGGACAAGGTTTCGGCATCAAGGACTCCAAGCACTAAACCTTAAACCCTCAAACTAGCTGGCTGTCATATTTCATCTTCCCAGATTCTGAGGTCTAGGCGGATGCCATGTTTCATGGGCTGTCAAGAACCCCGCGTATTTTGGGATCTGCTGGCATAAACCCCAAACCCTAAACCCCAAACCCCAAACCCTAAACCCCAAACCCTAGGTCAAGGCCTCCAAAATCGGCATCATCTTCTCCTTCGCCAAGACGGATCCCTTCGAGAGCTACTTGGAGCAGCACCTCCCCACCTCCACGGGCTACATCGACATCCCCTGGAACCTCGTGTGCGACCCCGGGTTCCTCGATGACGCAGCAAGCTGTTGTTTCTTTTTTGTTGCTTTCGGGCTTTTTGGGGGTGTAGGGTTTAGGGTTTAGGGTTTAGGGTTTAGGGTTTAGGGTTTAGGGTTTAGGGTTAGGGGTTTAGGGCTAGGGTTAAGGGTTTTGGGCCAAAACCCCCGACCTCCTTTAACGGGTTCTGATGTATGGGCCCTTCATTTGTGTGTTGGGTAAGGGGTCCCTTTTCAAGGGCCCAGACTAAGGGGCCATGTAACTACCCTTAGATGTTTGCTTGCAGGCTTTTGAGGTGTAGGGTTTAGGGTTTGGGGGCTTCATTGGGTAAACCCGGAAAACCCAAAACTTCAAACCACATACTCAGCTTAAAGTTCCTACTATCGGGGTATTCGGGTCCCTTTCGAAGGGAGAATCTGGAGAAGCCCTGTTTGTAGATATGTTGATGCGGAGGTTACGAAACAAAGGGATCCCCAAAAACTGACCCCCCAAATAGTAGGATCCCATAACAAGGACCCCAAAAAGGTACCCCTAATATCGCAACCCGAAACCTTAAATTCTAAACCCTAAACCCTAAACCCTAAACCCTAAACCCTAAACCCTAAACCCTAAACCCTAAACCCTAAACCCTAAACCCTGTGGTTTTTGGGGGCCCCCTAAGAGAGGTTCTTCTTTGACATCACCGTCACGGAGCCTCGGCCATGGCTCCCATACGTCTGCAAAGCGCAGGGTTTAGGGTTTAGGGTTTAGGGTTTAGGGTTTAGGGTTTAGGGTTTAGGGTTTAGGGTTTAGGGTTTAGGGCTTAGGGCTTAGGGCTTAGGGTTTGGGGCTTAGGGTTTAGGGCTCAGGGTTTGGGGCTTTGGATTGAGGGTTTCCCGGGAAACTCAAGCTTGATGGTGCGTTCGAAGAGGCTTGCTTTCTGGCAGCAGCAGATGGGAACTCTACGAGGAGGCGTAGGCTACGGCGAGTCATGGGGTGATTGTTTATTGGTCATATAGGGTTCACACAGTCTTGTGTAGTAGCTGGCGGGAGGCAAGAAGCAGCAGCAAACTGGCAAGAAGACTCCCTTATGTAGGCGCAAGGGTGGTTTAGGCCTAAACCCTAAACCCTAACCGGTTTGGGGATTGGTTTTGAGTGAGATCCACACTACTGGGGACCTGGACCATGTTGATTCTTCTCCGCTGGTTCCAGGGAACCCTGAACCCTAAACCCTAACCCTAAAGCCTCCTTACACGGTCCGAAGGTGTGGGGTTTAGGGCCCGGAGTTGAGGGGGACTCCGGGTTCAGGGTTCAGGGTTTAGGGTTTAGGGTTTAGGGTTCAGGGTTTAGGGTTCAGGGTTTAGGGTCCAGAGAAAGGAGGGAGGGGGGGGGACAAGCGTTGAGGCTTCTCTACCCCCTACTAGAATCCCCATTAAGGACTGTTGGTATAAGGGGGAACATCCCTATCGTTTCGAGGTTTAGGCTTTGCAGGTCTCAGGGTGTTAGGGCTTTTGTGCTTCTAGGGTTTCATGGCATATTTAGCGAGCTAAACCCTAAACCCTAAACCCTAAACCCGCAAGCCTTGCAGCTCTCTGGGGCTCAGGATTGCAAGCCTTGCGAGAAGGGCTTCTTCCGACCGGCAAACACCTCCGTCTTTACCTGCCTTCGGGCTCCGCCTGGGACCTTCCAGAGCCCTGTTCCGAGAAGGTTGCTCCAAAAACCCGAAACCCTAAACCCTAAATCCCAAACCCTAAACCCCCAAACCCTAAACCCTAAACCCTAAACCCTAAACCCTAAACCCTAAGCCCTAAGCCCTAAGCCCTAAACCCTGAACCCTTCTTTCAGGTTCACAGGGGCTGCTGAGGCAGAAGCAAAGGCGCAACCCTCCATCTTTACTCCTTTTGTCTGGGGTTCTTGGGTAGGGTTTGGTGGTTTCGGGCTGTAGGACTTAGGGTTCAGGGTTTAACTTTCAGGAGACCTCCAACCGCATCATCGATCATGAATGTAGAGAACTAAACAGTGCCTAAACCCTTAACCCTAAACCCTAAACCCTAAACCTTTGGGGAGGGGGGGGGGGGGGCGGGTGCTATCATTTGGGTCGGAACCATGGGCCCTTAGTGGTCCCTTACCCTGGTTTATAGGGATCCGAAGTGTGGGCCCTTGTTGTCAATAGTCTATATCAGGGTTGTAGAACACGGGACCCAAATTAAGGGCCCATAGCTCGGATCCCCTTTATAAGTAAGATTCTGCAGCAAGGAGAGATCCTAAAAATGGTCGGTAAACTTGAAGAACCGACGTAAGTCTTGTCTTCCTCTTGCGCCTGCGACCCCGAACCCTAAAACCCTAAACCCTAAACCCTAAACCCTAAACCCTGCCAGCCCAGGAATGAAACGGGCCAGGCAAGTGCTAAGCCTTGCAAGAAGGGCTTCACCACCTTCACGGCAGGAGCCACCGAAGAGTTCGCCCCTTCGCCGGTTCAGGGTTCAGGGTTCAGGGTTCAGGGTTCAGGGTTTAGGGTTTAGGGTTTGGGGTTTGGGGTTTGGGTTTAGGGTTTAGGGTTTAGGGTTTAGGGTTTAGGGTTTGTGGGAGAACCCTCAACCCTGCACTCCAAAGCCTTGAGAGCCCAAGAGCCTGAAGACTCAAACCCTCAACCGTGCACCCCCAACAGCCGAAAACCTGAAGGCCCTACACTCTGAACCTCTCATCCCTAAAGGGTTTAGGGTTTAGGGTTTAGGGTTTAGGGTTTCGGTTTTACGGTCATGAGAGAGTTACCCGGAAGCCTCACGGCCACAGCCCAGACTCAATCCCTGAGGCGAGAAAACCCTCAAACCCTCAAGGTTTTATCCCCAACGTTTAGGGTCTAGGGTCAAGGGTCTAGGGTCTAGGGTCTAGGGTTTAGGGTTTAGTGTTAAATCCTAGCCCTGAACCCGAAACCCTAAACCCTAAACTGCCCAGCTCCTCCTCAGGCTTGCGTCTGCCCTGGGCCATCGCTGACGGTTCCGCGCGGAAGGCAGAGGGGTTTTAGAGCTTCATGGGGTTTAGGGTCTAGGGTTTAGGGTTTAGAGTTTAGGGTTTAGGGTTTAGGGCTAGGGTCTTCTTGGCAGGTTTTTGGGATGAGGGCCCCAGAGAGGACTGAAAGTTTCGCGGTTTCGGGCTTAGGGTTCGGCAAAATGTTGGGATGATGAGGTCGTCGAGATCGCAGGGTATAGGCCCGGCGGCTTGTTTTCGTGGAGCTTGAAGTAAGGCTCAGCGGAGGTTCGGGATTCAATGCGGGATTCCCCCCCCCCCCCGAATCAGCGTAGAAACAGCACACTTGCCCGCCCCAAACTTTTCGAAGCTTTCAGTTCACTTGCTGCTGCGTTTAGCATGTGCGTGCGTGCGTGCGTGCGTGCGTGCGTGGTGCGTGTGTGCGGGGCGTGCGTGCGTGCGTGCGTGGTGCGTGCGTGGCTGTGTGGGTGGGGGGGTGGGTGTGGGTGGGGTGGTGTTGTGTGTGTGTGGGTGTGTGTTTTGTTTTGTGTTGTTGTGTGTGTGTGTGTGTTTGGGTGTGTGTTTGTTGTTTGTGTTTGTGTTTGTTGTGTGTGTTTTGGGTGTTTGTGTGTGTTTTGTTGTGTTGTTTTTTGGTTGTGTTTGTGTTGTGTTGTGGTGGGTTTGTTGTTTGTGTTGTGTTGTGTGTGTGTGTGTGTGTGTGTGTGTTTGTGTTGTGTGTGTGTGTGTTTGAGTTGTGTGTGGTTGTGTTGTGTGTGTTTGTGTTGTGTGTGTTTGTGTTGTGTGTGTTTGTGTTGTGTGTGTTTGTGTTGTGTGTGTTTGTGTTGTGTGTGTTTGTGTTGTGTGTGTTTGTGTTGTGTGTGTTTGTGTTGTGTGTGTGTGTTTGTGTTGTGTGTGTTTGTGTTGTGTGTGTTTGTGTTGTGTTGTGTTGTGTTGTGTTGTGTTGTGTTGTGTTGTGTTGTGTTGTGTTGTGTTGTGTTGTGTTGTGTTGTGTTGTGTTGTGTTGTGTTGTGTTGTGTTGTGTTGTGTTTGTGTGTTGTGTTTGTGTGTGTGTTGTGTTGTGTTGTGTTGTGTGTGTGTTGTGTTGTGTTGTGTTGTGTTGTGTTGTGTTGTGTTGTGTTGTGTTGTGTTGTGTTGTGTTGTGTTGTGTTGTGTTGTGTTGTGTTGTGTTGTGTTGTGTTGTGTTGTGTTGTGTTGTGTTGTGTTGTGTGTGTTGTGTGTTGTGTTGTGTTGTGTGTTGTGTTGTGTGTTGTGTTGTGTGTTGTGTTGTGTGTTGTGTTGTGTGTTGTGTTGTGTGTTGTGTTGTGTGTTGTGTTGTGTGTTGTGTTGTGTGTTGTGTTGTGTGTTGTGTTGTGTGTTGTGTTGTGTGTTGTGTTGTGTGTTGTGTTTTGTGTTGTGTTTTGTGTTGTGTTTTGTGTTGTGTTGTGTTTTGTGTTGTGTTGTGTTGTGTTGTGTTGTGTTGTGTTGTGTTGTGTTGTGTTGTGTTGTGTTGTGTTGTGTTGTGTTGTGTTGTGTTGTGTTGTGTTGTGTTGTGTTGTGTTGTGTTGTGTGGTGTGGTGTGGTGTGGTGTGGTGTGGTGTGGTGTGGTGTGGTGTGGTGTGGTGTGGTGTGGTGTGGTGTGGTGTGGTGTGGTGTGTGTGTGTGTGTGTGTGTGCGTGCGTGCGTGCGTGCGTGCGTGTTTTGGTTGCGCTGTGTGTGTGTGCGTGCGTGCGGACTGGTTTTTGGGAGGCCGCTTCAGGGGCTTCTACATAGCAGCTTTGGGGGCAGACGTGTACGTTTTATAGGTACATGGACGCTGTAAGGACCTACCTGGGTAGTTATATGGGCCTTTGTTATGGTCCCCTACCTCCCTTAAAGGGTTCTGAAGTATGGGCCCTTGGGTTGTATGGGGTATATACGGGGTATATAAGGGGTCCCCGTTTCAGGGCCCATACTAAGGGACCATGCAACTACCCATAAACCCTAAACCTTAAACCCCAAACCGAAACCCGAAACCCTAAACCCTAAACCCATACTTACCCTTAGAGCCCGCACTTGCCCTAACCCTAAACCCTCAACCCTTAACCCTTAACGCTAAACCCTATAAGCGGGTCTTCAGGTACCATGTAGACGTTTGCGACGGGGCTCCCCGACAAGACGCCCGGGGCGTGCTGAAAACCTGCGCTCAGCTGGGGAACTGCCTGGAATGTCCCGAGGAGCCTTGGATTGGGTTTAGGTTTTACGGCTTAGGGTTTAGGGGTTAGGGGTTAGGGTTTAGGGTTCAGGCTGCCTTGTATTCGGCGGTTTCTATGGTCTTATTGGCTTAGGGGTCCCCTTGGGGTTCCTATGATAGCGCAGAAGCCCTTCATACATACATACATACATACATACATTCATACATACATACATACATACATACATACATACATACAGATATATATATATATATATATATATATTTATTTATTTATTTATGTAAATGTATTCTTTTTATATCTGTATTATTTATACATATTTCTGCAGCATAAGGAAGCGAACATGCAGCACGAGATAGTTTTTTTGGTGCAAGAAGCCTTATATATATATGTATATACATAGTCACGTCGCAACATGCAATATAAAGATAAATAAGTATTTAGTGCAAAGACCCACAAGGGACCCCGCGCCCCCCTTTTGGAGAAGTGGCTAAAGGTAAAGACGCTTAGAACAATAGTTCTGTGCCCGTAATACTCCCCTCTTTACTACCCCCCCCCCCCCCCCCCCTCCCCCAGGTTCCCCCCATAATTAAGGTTGTTTTAACCTTATCCCCAAACCCCAAACCCCAAACCCTAAGCCCTAAGCCCTAAACCCTAAACCCTAAACCTTAAACTTGAGCAAATGGCTCTGCAGACTGAGGGCATGATCTGCGAGGGCGCCAGAGACATCGCCGCCGCCCGATTCGGATCAGGGACGATTCGGGGACACTGGCTTTGGGTTTTTAGGGTATAGGGTTTAGAGGGTTTAGGGCTAGGGTTTAGGGTTTAGTGTTTAGGGTTTAGGGTTTAGGGTTTATAGGGTTTAGGGCTAGGGTTTCGGGGTTATGGTTTAGGGTTTATAGGGTTTACAGGGTTTTGTCAGGCTGTTTGGGGCTTAGGACCTCATTTCGCCGCGAGGTTGCAGCAGCACGCGCCATGGTACGTAACAGAAAATGTCTGAGCAGTTGTGATGGTCCGTTCGCCAAGGTCAGGTCTCAACAATCTAGCACGTTGTTGGCACAACACCCCTCACTTTTGGAAGATTCTTCAGGGGTCTTAGCATGAGGATGCTAGACAAGTGTAAGGAAGGTTCCTGAAGGGTTGTTGGAGATCTTTTGGAGAAGAGCGTGGGTACTGTGCTGCCGGGCAGCAAGCTGTTGAAACCAATGCCTGTCAACTGCAGGCATTAGACGACTCAGCTGTGAACGCTCGCATTGCCGCGTTCTGTGCCTCCTATGCGTACGCAGACACGGAGGCCCGTGCACCGTGCGCATGGGTGGTGGCAAAGTTCTCTGACAGTCAATAGGCCAAGCCATATAGGCTTTGGCGTGTGGGTTGCTAGCCGCCTGAATCCCTATCCAGGAGCTGCAGGACCCTGAACCTGAAACCCGAAAACCCGAAACCCGCAAACCCTGACACCCTAAGCCCCAAATTTCGAACCAGAAACCTCAGTGGAAGGGTGCAATTTACGAAGCTCCATGAGTAATAGTAGCCCTAAACCCTAAACCCTAAACCCTAAACCCCAAACCCCAAACCCCAAACCCCAACCCTAGCCCTTCTTGGGTCCACCAGGCCTGCACATCCCGAGTCTACTGCGAAGCCAACCTAGAGGCTGTTCTTTTTTTTTTTTTTTTTTTGGGGGGGGGGGGGGGGGGGGGTGATTTGGGGGTTTAGGGTGTTGGGGGTTTGGGGTTTAGGGGTTTCGGGTTTTCGGGGTTTTTGGGGTTTTGGGGTTTTTGGGGTTTTGGGTTTTAGGGGTTTTGGGGTTTAGGGGTTTAGGGGTTTAGGGGTTTAGGGGTTTAGGGGGGTTAGGGGTTTAGGGGGGTTAGGGGTTTAGGGGTTTAGGGGTTTAGGGGTTTAGGGGTTTAGGGGTTTAGGGGTTTAGGGGTTTAGGGGTTTAGGGGTTTAGGGGTTTAGGGGGTTTGCGGTTTAGGGTGTAGGGGGTTTGGGGTAAAGGGTTTGGGTTTTAGAGGTTTAGGGGATTTGGGGGGTTTGTAGAGTTTTGGGGTTTTCGGGTTTAGGGTTAGGGTTTGAGGCGTTTGGGTGTTTGGGAGTTCGGGGCTTCGGGGGCTTGGGTTTGAAGGCGTTTGTTCTATGCTGTTAATGGCGAGCTACCGAATTTGGTTTAGGGTTGAGGGTCTGGGGTTTGGGGTACTAGGACCCGGAGTAAGGCCCTATTTCCTTTTTTAGGGTTGGGTTGGCCTTGTACTCCAAACAGGGTACCCTTTTTTTTCCTAGGTTACTCCTCGGTTCTAGGGTAGTAGCCAGCAAGAGTCCGCCGACCCTGCTCGCAGTCGTGCACCCTGAGTCTGGAGCCTGCCCTAAGCCCTAAACCCTAAACCCTAAACCTTGCAACCTCTCCATGGAAAGGACACAGCCTGCGACCATGCGCCGCCAAAGTTGCTGCCAGGTCCCTTTCGGTGCCTCTTGCGTTGCTAGGGTTTAGGGTTTTGGGTTTTGTGTTTTGGGTTCTGGGTTTAGGGTTTTGGGTGCAGGGTTTAGGGTTTAGAGGCAAGGGTTTCGGGTTCAGGGCTTTGGGTTTAAAGGTTAGGGTTTAGGGGGTTAGGGCGTTGCGGGTTAGGGGTTAGGGTTTCGGGTCTAGGGTTCAGGGCTCAGGGATTTATGGATCTTGGGGTTCTATTCGGTTTAGGGTTTAGGATTTCGGGTTTAGGGTTTAGGGTCTAGGGGTGCTGGGAGGTTTTCTTAGTTGGCTTAGGGGGTTCATGCTTTGGATGTTTGGGGGTTCACAGGGTTTTTTTTCAACACAGGGAGCATAGGATTTAGCCTACACGACATGATTTTTTGATATGTTATGTCGAAGCAGGTTGAACTACGCCGAGAAATCACCCCCCAAAAGCAACTCAACACCTATCGAATTCCGGGAACTTTGGACAGAATCATAACAGTCTATTCAAAACGCAACAGCCCGGAGACACAAGTTTGCTTCAATAGTGCAGCCTCGAGAGAAGCTGCTCTCTTCTTCCAGGTTTAGCTGTGTTTCCTCTAAGTCTCTGTGTCGGGGTTGTTTCTGCCCGTTGTTTGTTGGTGAGTTCATTTTGTTCTTAAGTTGTGTGGGAACCCCTTTTCATGTCAGTCGCCATCGGATTTGAAATGGAAATTCCAGGGGTTAAGGGTGTAGGTTACTCCGAGTGGCTGCAAAGTGCCGTTGAACCGCCGTTGCCCACGCCCGCCCATCAATGCTCAACCCTCAACCCGAAACGTTCAACCGTCAACGCCAAAACCCACACAATGAACATCGTGCCACTTTATTTGTTGTGCAGGTTACTGGTCCAGCCCGGATGCTCCTCTGTCTGTGTTCCTTGCGCTTGCACTGCAGACACACAGGGCAGAGGATCTTGAGTTTGGGCTTTCAGTGATGGGTTCCTCCTAAACCCCAAATCCCAAACCCCAACCAAACCCTAACCCTAAACCCTAAACCCTAAACCCTAAACCCTAAACCCTAAACCCTAAACCCTAAACCCTAAACCCTAAACCCTAAACCCTAAACCCTAAACCCTAAACCCTAGCGGCGCGGGAAATAAGCAAGGGTACAAACCCTAGCCCCAGGCACAACCTCCTCAGCCCTAAACCCTAAATCCCATACCCTAAACCCTAAACCCTAAACCCCAAACCCCAAACCCCGATCCCTCGGAGGAGGAAGCTAGCTTCAGCTAGCTTCCTCGAATTCCTAAGTGCAAGGTGCTTGAGGAGTCGGCAAAGGCTTCCGTTGCAATAAGAGCCGTTTCGAGGTTAAAATGCCCTAAACCCGGAACACTATCCTCTTGCCTAGTGCACAAAAAGCCAAAATAGCCCAATTTCAAACCCCTAAACCCTTCCAGACCATCATCAACAAAAGCCAGCCAGTCAATAAAGCCAGCCTAAAACCCCAAACCCTAAACCCAAAAGCCCGAAACCCCAAAAGCCGAAGGTTTACCTGTGCCAGTGAGTTCCACTGCCGTGGGGGCCGCCCTGGTCTGGTCTGTGCGCCCGGGCGCCAGGCTCGGCGTAGTGGGGTTTTGGGTTTGGGGTTTGGGGTTTAGGGTTTAGGGTTTAGGGTTGGGGTTTAGTTAACCCTAAACCCTAAACCCTAAACCCTAAACCCTAACGGTTAGGGGCTTGGGCAGGGCTTGGGGTGCTCAGTTGTTTAGAGTTTAGGGATTGGGCCGTCGGGCTCAAGATCTGGGCTTTGGAGCTAACAGCCCGAACACCCCAAGCATCATCAAACCCGAGAAGCAATTTCGCCCTCTCTGGCCTGGAAGCTACAAAGCCTGCAAGCTCTTTACCAGAGCCCTTTGCACCATGAACCAGAAACCCTGAAAGTACCGAAAGCTTTAAGCCACATACCTAACACCTAAACCCTGCCGAACTCGGAACCCCAGCACTTCCCCAAACCCTAAACCCTAAACCCCAAACCCGAAACCCTAAACCCATAACCCATAAACCCTAAACCCTAAACCCTAAACCCTAAACCCTAAACCCTAAACCCTAAACCCGAAACTAAACCCTAAACCCTAAGACTTCCAGCAACACGGCCTCAGGATGTCGCCTGCGGCTTGTGCAAGCCCAACTACCACAGCAGCGATCAAGGGACATGCAGGGCCCCTAAACCCGGGGGGGTGGGGGGGAATGGGTCTTAGGGGTGATGTGCAGTTGTTCAGATTTTACGCAGGGGGCCCTGAGGGTTCAGGGCTTGGGCAGGGGGGGTGGGGGGGGCATTGGGTGTTGATCTGTGGCTTTCACGGTTTAGGGGTTTAATGTCAGTCTTGAGTTGAAAGTTTAAGGAGGCGACATGTAGTTTTGGGTTCTTGGGTATTTGGGGTTGAGGTCCCTACACCATACATATCTTAGGATAAGGGTTTACGGTTTAGGGAGGGCTTTGAAGACTGGCGTGTAGAGCAGGGGCTTAGGGTTTAATTAGGTTTCAGGTTTAGGATTTAAACCCTAAACCCTAACCCTTAACCCCAAACCCTAAAACCTAAACCCTAAACCCTAAACCCTAAATTAAGCCCACAACCCCAAAGGCATCGCCTGCGAATCGCTGGATATGGTACCTGGCCTTGTCGGCCTCACTGCGGCGGTCCTCGTGGCCATCGCGCTGTCGATCTACATGCGCCCGGGAAGACATTGGATACACTACAGGGGTTAGGGTTTAGGGTTGAGGGTTTAAGGTATTGGGCATGGCTTCAAGTTTTATTTAGTTTCTTGAATTGGCTAGAATGCAGTGTAGGGTGTAGGGTTTAGTTGCAGTTTCTTTCTTTATAGGCCGGGGGGGGGGTTCTCATTCCATGGTTTGCACGGTCGAAGAAGAAAGACGCGTGCCAACAAACGTAATTACAAATCAGGGTCCAAACAAACCTTAAATTGGGGTTTGAACCCTAAACCCTAAACCCCAAACCCTAAACCCTAAATCCTAAACCCTAAACCCTAAACCCTAAACCCTAACCCCTCTTAGGGTTCAGAGCCTCGCAAATTGCGAGGCGTTCACACTTGACGAAGAACTCCAAAGCCGTGCTGTCGCTGATGATTATCTTATCACAAGCCGGCGTTTCCTGGTCACATCCTGGGGTTTACGGTGTTTAGGGTTTAGGGTTTAGGGTTTAGGGTTTGGGGTTTTGGCATGTTGGTAGCTTAGGGCTTTGCGCCGTTGCTTTGAAGATGTTTATGGGCTTCTGCCTGGAATTTTCATATTCGCATCTTCGGCTTTGTTTTGGCAGGGGGTGGGTTTGGAGGGTTTAGGGTATTGTGCCTTGAGGGGATGTCGGGGTTGGGCCTTGGGACCCTGAGCCGTAAACCCTAATCCCTAATTAAGAGCTCTTTGCCCTAACGCTGAGCACATGGGCAAGAGGGGGGGGGGGGGGGGGGTGCTGATACACTTCCGTTCCGATGCATCATAAATGGGGTCAATGTGGCTACACCCTACGAGTACCCCTGTAAACCTTCCAGTGGCCTTTTTTTGTCCTTTCATGTATGGCATCGGGTTAAAACCGCAAGTCCCAGGTGTTGTTTGGTCATTTTGGTTTAAGGGGCTTATCTAAGTTTCAAGAGCTCTTTGTTTGGCACCCCCACCGATCCGGATCACATCGTAAAGGAGTTTAAGATTCCCCCTGTCTGAAGTAGGCTCTTCATAGTTTCTTTGGTGAGCATAGGCATATCACATACACATACATCATGTATGTGTGTGTGTGTGTTGGTATGTGTTATATAAATATATATGTACACACATGTAATTGTGGAGCATCATTCTGGGATGCAAAAAAGATCCATGCAGGCTTTTGAGCTCTGAATGGCCGATGTAGTTCAAGGCCT